CTTAGGCATCCTGTCTGGAGATTCGCGCCTTTGGGCGCACGCGTCTGGCAGAGATGGGCTAGTGAATATGGCTGAAACTGTGTTTGGTAACGAAATAAATTTGTTTTTGGTTTGTCCAGTTGCCTTTTGTGCCTTTTAGGCCCAGCCATTTTTGTTTCTCGAAACACCAATACCGTAGTACCTGCTGGTTTGTGTCCCACCTTTTACCGAACGACAATGTACGTGCGCTTATATTTCCCACCTCACCGGACCAACAGGGGGGCCACATCGGATTCTGGAAGGCGTTATCTTTGCACAGTGGCAAATGCCAACATCTAGGCGGAGCGCTGGCAGACCTTGCTGTTGGCAGTCGCCGCACAAACTGGAACCACTGCCACGCCCTCCATTGTTTTGGCGGTAAAAATCCTGGTCATTTGTTGTGTGGATCAGGGGGTGCGGTTCCGTCCAAGCCATCCTCCTGCGGCCTCCCTCATCTCCGGTCTTCTTGACTCTGTCTTGACACGGGGCTCAGGTGGGGGAGGAGAGTGTGGTAGATGCATCGAAAGTCTACTGGCACTATAAACCCCTGCGCGAGTCACCGTCCCTGCTTTGGGGCACACGGTGGACATAGTCGAAATCGACGGTCGAACTATATCTCTGACCTTGTTTGTGTAGAAACTCGTGACGAAGACGAATTTGACCTGAGCGGAAAATATCTGGCATACCTGCAATCGTCGACACCCAATCATAACCTGATCCGTGGCAGGAAAGGCCTGGGTTTCAAATCGAGTTTTGGTTTGTAATTGAGTCACACGTCCTACTAGTTTGGCCGCGGGCTTTTTCTGCCGGCCACAGTCGGGAGTGTCCAGCCTCATGGCGGAAGCACCAACCGATCCGCGTCACGGTAGTGTAACTCACTTGGGACTCCAGAATGTTAAAGACAGAGCCTTAATAAATAATGTCTCAGGGTTGTTTTAAGCAAGGGTTAATCGAAACTTACTTGCCGGCAGATTGAGAAGCCCATTCTTGACAGCTGCACAGCGCGCACCTGTCCTTGTATTGGGAGAACGTCCGACGCTCAAGAATCAGGATTTTCAGGGCCACACACAAAGATGCCTGTCCCTTCAGAGGTTTAAATTGTTAACACGTAGCTCTCCATCGCACACCGTCGCTTCAAGGCAACTCTGATGTGTCAGACTGATGCAGTTTGACCTGCTTTTTTATCTTCTCAAGTTGTCTCCCTCCACCTATACTCATCTCTCTCCCGATTTGTTTGTAACAAGGGTCAGAGGATTACGGATAGGGACGCCCCTTTAGAATAGCTTCCGGATCGGACGCGGCACCGAGGTCACTGGTTACCTGCATTACTGGACATCTCGTAGTTCACTTCCTTAAACTGTTGAGATTGTTTCGGTTTAGTTGCCCCGCACTAAAATGGACAGTTATCGTTGTTAGGTGGGAAGTTGTCCCTCTCCGTGCTATTGGCTCTCTGCAGTTCTAACCGTGTTGGACTAACCATTACTCCCTGGTTGTCCAAGAGGACGATTGGGTCGTGGCTTACCGGACAATGTTTAATTGAGCGGCCTTACAGAGGGATTGTTTTCTTCTTTCTAGTATATGGACTTGCTGTTGATCATTTCCATCCCCCACCAGACATGACATTTCAGGCGTCCAGGATTGTGTCGGAAAGTAGACGAAACCTTATTTACTGGCTGGCAGCGCTCACCATGTAATACCGCTATGGCTTGAAACCTTTCTACGGGTAGTCATATTTACCAGATAACCATCGCTGAACGCAGTTCTACTACTCGCCACCCGTGGACACGCTCGATAATAGCTCGCAACCAGGCTAACAGACATGCCTCTTCTTGGTATTCTTGCTGCCCCAGTTTTGTTGCTATACGCTTGTGTCAGGCGTTTGGTTAATCATACTATTCCTTTCGGCAACTACTGCCCAATATGAAAAATAAGCCTTGCCTATCGATTGCCCTCCGGTTGAACGCAGCGTAAACATGGGGGCGGAGGGTTAGGTTGTTGTGTTGTTCCCCCCATTTGCGTCGGAAGCGTTGATTTTCCAGGATTTTCCGTCGAAGAAAAGGTGTTTGTAAGGGCCGCCACCTATCCTGCAGGACGCCGTAACGTGTCTTCTGCAGTCCACGTCAGTGCCCGTGAAGGTGTGGCCCAACTATCTGGGCGGCTTGGCTCCGTGTGCCTGTCGAGCGGATAAGACGAACACTCCTCGCGGCAGAGAGGACGGGTGCAATCAATCTGTGTTGCCTGTGTCTACTGACGCCCGTCGCACCCTCTGTGTGCCCACGCACAAATGAGCGGAGTGTGTAGCCCGCGGTGTGCGCAACTGAGTCTTGACTGCACGGGCTTTCCGCAGGGCGGCATTTTCTGCAAATATTTGGATGCGGGTGAGTGAATAACAAAGGTCCTAGGTCAAACCCATCATGTCGGAGTGTATGCCTCTTGACGCGCAGGCAGAGAGTGAGAGCTTCTGTATCCTTAGTCGTATTTCGGCCTAACGCTACTGGAGGCAAAAACCATAGTATCAACAAAGAGAATTAAATTCGCCTAATCTACGCACATGTGGCCAAGACGTTTTCGACCGATTAGCGGCCGGTCCGGTTATCTCAAGTTACAGCAATAAACTACTGGCAAGGATTTCCTCAACATCTCGGTTCTACCCTTCCCATTTATGCTTTGGCAATTTTCCTTAATATCCGCCAAGCGATGTCAAATCCGCTTGCAATTTATCTTGCTGTTGCATCTCACCCGTGGTCGTAGACTTTGGCATACTTCGGCTTCCCCGTCGTGTGGCCATCGTTACTCTGAACCTACAGTAGATGTGCTATCATGAAATATGAACCAAAATTCTGAAATACGTTTTCGGCACGAAAAGTTTACTTAAGTAGAGTTGTCATACTAACTCGCATGCAGCATAATCCCCAGGCGTTCCAGTCGCGTCAGGATGCCGGCTTTTGAACGTCTGCAGATATACGCCGTGGAAAATGACTACCTAAGTAGGAGGAATTTTCCAATTTTTTTCGATGCCTTTGTAAATTCGAGTATATTTTTTAGAGAAAATGCAGAAAATATTCTTCCTTCCACTTATTTGATAGTAAATTACGTCTTCTTTGAATTTTATGCTTCCGTTTTACAAACTCTCTAATCATGAGATTTTTTAGATCGTGAAATGTCCATTCATAAAGCATTGTAGCTCTACATTTATTCATGTTGCTCGTTAAGTATACAGGATTTTTCAAGTCTGTTGCAAAATTTTTTGGACTTCATATGATGTCTTCTTAATAGCATACTGAAATGTATGCTCTTCCTTACATGAAAAATATACAGCAAATGCGACAACGGGTCGGGTTCAAAGGTATTCAGGAACTGAGAAAGTTCTTTAAAACCGAATTATACCCTTCCTTTTGGCATAAAATTTAACAACGACGTAGTTCGCCACCAAATGAGTGGAAGGACAAAAAATTTCGTGCATTTTCTATAAAATATATTTGAATTTATAGGGGCACCGAAAATCAATTAGAAAAGTTCGTACTAAAGTGGTCATTTTTACCGAGTGTAGTTTTTGCAGACAGCCGGAAAGAAGTTCGTTCAAAAACCGGTATCCCGATATGACTGAAATATCTTGGGATTCTGCTGCACGATCATTAATGTCACAACTCCACTTAGGTTTTTTTCGAATCGAAAACACATTTCAGAATTTCGGTTAATATTCCATGAGATAGCACATCTACCGTATGCGTTCCTTAGTCTAACAGGTCAGTTTTGCCAACAGGTGATCACTTCTCCCCTGGCATCTTAATATTGCGCGCCATCAAATGACACGACTACGAAGCTGGACCGACCCGAGTTGGCTTAGGCTAATCGGCGAAGACGAAGTCATTGATTGGCACCAAAGCTGATGCCCCTTCTCCTGTCTTCCCCCACGCCCCAACGCCGTATATTTCACCCCGCTTCAGCCACCAGCAGAGTGTCTCGTTGGATGACCTTTCGCCACCATAGACACCCCTATGGCTTGTTCGGCTAGCCCAGTTCGCCACCACCCGGCTTCAGGTCTATACAGACAACCTGCTGAAAATTAGAGCTAGCCAACCATCTCATCTGTTCAAAATTCAGGTTATAGTGCACTCTATCTTCCTGGATTCTGACTGGACAATCACCGGCTCAAGTAAACAGCCTGTGCTGGCTAAATTCGCGACCAGGCATTAGGCCAAAATAAACGGCTAACGAATTACCTGATGACTTTATTAATCTGAATCCAGTTTAGGAGGACACCTCTTTGTTTTCAAGTAGTAAATTTTAAAACTTAAAAAAGCTTTTTCCCTATCTTGGAAAGTTGTTGGCTGGAACGCTCACGCTTTTGCCGCTTATAAAAGTCATGCTTCCTCATGTATAACTCCGTTGGCAACCGGGTTCTTTCTTGCTTCTGTGCACAACTCCATTGTGAACTTACAACAGGTGCCACGTGACATCCATCTTCCCCTATGCGCTCTGTTCCCTACCGGTTAATAGTCCCACTCTTTTCTTCCTACCCACTGTCTCTATTTTGGCGATCGTAAATACCGGTTCGAGACCCTTCAGATGATTTTGTTGTAAACCGGGCAATTTTTGGAATTCGCTCTTTATACTTTTCGCCTGTATTTGCGAGTCAATTTACACAGGTGAAGTCCCTTTCACAGACTAGAAAACAGGCCCGATTATAGTTGGACTTTTGTCTATCCCAAGGCTGGCTTAATTATTGGAGGCGCTTTTTTGCGTCCGAAGGGTATCCTCATCTCTCAACGAGTATTTCCTCAAAACCGTTGGGCGTCGGACTGACGGGGTGATTACTAGGTGCCAGTGTCTCGACGCTTCCAGTTTTCCTTGCTTATCATCTAAGGAATGCGATTACGGAGTTGCGGTCATCTATTCCTGACCAGTGATATGCTCAAAATTACGCCTGGCTGGACAGGGCGACTTCCCTGTCGTTCGATCAGCACGAGGCTGGTGTTCCACGTCTTGAAAATCCTATCACCAAAGCGTCTGACCTCCGTAATGTGTCGTCGACCTGTGGCACCAGGTAGAAACACAGCAGCTTGTGATGTAATACGAAGGAGGTGTCTTATTATAATGCACTCATTTTACTCAAGTAAACGAATGTCAGAGAAACGCTAAGGACTGAGACGGAGATCGATAAGTCACCGGATTGAATGCAGAGGAAAGAGGTAGGGAAATAACCGCCGGACATAATGCATATGTTTGGAAATTTATCGAAAGAATCCATGTAATAGTAGAAGACAAAGCACGACGTCGAAAATATGAGACTCATTTGAGACGAGCATAAGTAAACGGCTGTAGGATATGGCCGCAGTCTGTGAATACACTCAACTGTTTTCTGGTTCGTCAGAAGGCCGTTTTATTTGATTGACATAGTTCTTGTCCTTCCGAATGGTTGGAAGTCGCCTTTGGCTTCTGGACCAACGACAATGCTATCAGCTGGTTAGCCGTCGATGGGGGGTGGTGAGCATGGCCTTTAAATCCCGCCCCTGGGGAAGGTGACCATGTTTGTTTGTCGTAAAAATAGTGTTCGACCGTGGTTACCGACTGTCCACGGTGTCTCCCACAGCAGGATGTATTTTCAGGGACGGGGACTTGCGTGTGAACTAGTTTGTACTGTGGACTTTCGCCGCATCCACCACACTCCTTACCCACCTAGGCCTTGTGTCAAGATAGAGTCAGGAAGGCCGGAGAAGGGATCGGGTGCGGACGGCTAGGCCTGCGTGGGCCTGCGCCTAGGCGTACCACCATCCCCTCTGTGTTTGCGCAGCCCAATAACGCGTGCTGAACCCGGGTCTGGCTCCCGCGTTGATTCAGCGCATCCCCCACGTGGCCCGCTGTAAGGGGGAAAATCGTAAAAAAGTGCTGCTGTTTGTTTGTTTGTCCTGCCTCCGGCACCCCTCTAAAAGAATGACGCCGACCGTGTGCCCTTTTTGTTTTGCAGGCCGTATCGACGATATGCTGAATGTGAGTGGTCATCTCCTGAGCACAGCAGAGGTGGAGTCGGCGCTGGTATCACACCCGCTGGTCGCCGAGGCTGCTGCCGTCTCTAGGCATCACAAAATTAAGGGCGAATGCCTACACTGCTTCGTCACCCTCAAGAGCGGCCTAACTACCCTCTCGACGGACGTCAGACAGGAGCTAGTCAATACAGTGCGTGCAAAGATTGCTCCGTTTGCTGCACCTGACTTCATCCAGGTAAATCTGCACCACATTTTCCCCTCACCGCCCGTCCGTGAGAGTTTTCACCTTTCGAATTTCACAATGATATTAATCACGACTTACTGGCAACCAAGTCTGGCGTACATGATGTGCTGCAGTATGTGGCAGGCCTTACGTGGAACTGCCACCGAAGGAGGGGGGCGTCAAGGTTTTGTAGAAAAACGGAACATCCTATCTGAAAATTTATGTCTCTCCGTGGTGTTGGCGTCAGAGCTCCGGCTGTTCGATTTTCCTTATTAGACAATTTTTGTTTTTTCCATATTTCCACTCCTGTCTTAGGCAGACTTGCGGTAGACGTAGCACTTGCCAGTAAGTAACACGATTCCTGCACGTGGACGGACTGGCTTTCGGCTGGGAATTTTCCCCGCCGCCTGCGCCCATGCTTGTGTAACCCCGACTTTACCTCTTAACAGGTTGAACTAAATTTTCGTTAATCAGGCTCTCTAGGTAATTGCATCTCCGTTAGGTTTGTTTTCAATGTCTTCTGACTACATTGATAGGTCCTGACCCGCATAGTGTACGTGTTTTGCCTGTCACGAATTCAACGTTTCGATGTCTCACTTAAGAGGATCTTTTTGGCGCTCATAAAGCATTGTAGCGGGCCAGAAGCAGGATGCATGCCTCGCAAGCTACACTAATTAGCCTCCATAGAGCATGCTGTTGCTTATACTAGGGTCTCACAATTACTTATCTACTTTTCTCACGGTCCAAGCCTTCAATTTCTTCAGGTGAAAGAAGTAAAGGTCCCGCGTATTTGTTGAAATTTACTTTACGCGGACGGTGCAAATCAGTGGTAAATAGGTGCTACTTATGCGCGAACTTCTCTTAAATACGATTACCAGAATCGACAGGAAAGATTTTCAGCCTAAGACCAACATGCCATCATGGATGAATTTGCGTGCAATTTCCTTCCATTCCAATCGGTCGGGAAGTCGAACTGAAGTAATATTTTCTACTTAGGGGCCTATTTAACAACTTCAATTACTGTTTGCCGCGTTTCGACACATACTGTACTTTAGCACTGTCTGATCATCGTACTTTTTGAGAGACCGCTGTCTGGCCGATCGAGTGTGGCGTCTACGAATTGGCACATTTTTTCTCGCATTCGTGCAGTTTCTGCACATCGCGATTTTCAGGACTTTAGTCACATAGTACGCATGAAACGTTCATAGGTGAACGGCTGCTCCGTATTTTGCCGTCGTCCATGTTAAGAACTTTGCTGGTATCGTACATGTTCTAGTTTCATCCCGTTCGATCCCTTGCCCTCTCATTTAGGCGGCCCCAGCTCTCCCGAAGACCCGCAGTGGCAAGATTATTCGACGACTGTTGCGCAAAATCGCCAACGGTGATCGCGAATTTGGTGATGTTTCTACCCTTGCCGACCCCAGCTGCCTGGAGGCTCTATGTGCGGATCTGGAGAAGGCTCGCTAAATGTCCCACAACACACTGCTAATCCGCTTGTGGATCTCTCCCTTCTCCTAGCGCCCTTCAATATCCCTGGTCCTGCGCACTCTTTCTTCCCCCGTGTGTCGCGTCCGACTCCTAGCTGGCGTTGTTATCCAGTCGCGCTTGCACCACGATCCCTTGACCTCCCAGTTTTGGTTGTGATCATTCTCTAAAACAATCACTATTTGCGGCTTTTGGCGCCTGTTTGTGCACCACCACCACCACCACCAGCATTTTTTTGCTTTTATTACGACAATGCTATATTTGGGCATCTCTACTCCTCGTCTTCTTGTTGTCTCCAATACGCTTTTTACTTCGCCCGATACCTTGTGTGGATTCCCGCTCGACAGCAACAGCAACAATCTAGAAGAGACGAGTTTAAATCATACCTTTCTATTTTGTTTTGTACGCCACTAGTCTACTTTGGCATTAGGAACTCGGAGTCTGTCCGTCTGTGTTTTATTCTACCCGTTTGCGCATGTCCGTACTACTGTTTGTGTCCGTCAGCCTCTCGACACTTGCGTATTCGCCTTCGTTCTCGCTCTGTTGCCTTTTTCTTTCTAGCAACGTGCTTGGAATTCTAAAAAATGGAACACTTGGTTACATTCCGCCGCCCGACGCCTCGCGGGCATCTGGCGCCTCCTCTTTCTATCTTCTTCCCCTGCCTCCTTGCACCTCGAGTGCCCCCATTTCTGTTCACATCTTGCATTAAAACCGCACGTCCTCTTAGTCTTGACCTCTCCTTAGTTCAAAAGGGACCAGTTCCTTCGCTTGACGAGCCTCTCTCGGGCTTCAGATGGGGAGAGGACTCCTAGTCCCGTGTCGAGAGGGGACCGCCTTGTTCGGCACAAACTCGGCTCATAACAAGTAATGGGCTTTTCCTGACTCTCAGATGCCTCATTTTGGCGCTGCTGGTGGAGCGTAGGCGAGGGGATTGTGGGCCTTGACTAGTCAGCGGGAAATTTTCAGTGACATATGGTACAAAAAAATGAAAAAGCGTAGCATGATTTTTGGAGCTGACCAATTGACGCAAAACCTCTTCAAAAACATGCAGATTGTTGACGCCTTGATGACGTCATCAGTTGGCAGGAATGAGTGACGAGTCCAGTTTATTCCACAGAAGGCAAATAGTTCGGTTGTGGCGTTCAGTCGGAACATTCGCAGTGGATGCTTACATAGTGGGGGGGGGGGGGGGGCGGCCTACTCTGAAAAGCCCACCGGATCAGGGTAGCGCGCAATCTACCGCCCAAATAATGGAAGTTATGCTAGAGACGGACTCAGGGAGCAAATCTTGTCATTCGCTCGGTGAAGATGAGTCAAAACGGTTTCAAGTGACTTTGATGTTGGCGTGTCCCAGCTTTCTCCACGAAGCTTTATGTAAAAGGCGTTTGGCGTGTTAGTGTCTCCACCCTTCCTTATTTGCGGAAGTCGTTTTTCGATCCTGGAAAAATACCTCCTGTGCTTTTTAGTATGACCACTTGGGGGTGGGCGTAGAGGACACCAAAATAATAGTCTACTAGATAATGGCTGCAAAGACAGAAACCAAACCTGTTCCTTGGGCACCAGGAAGAAAAGCCGCGTCTTTGTTAATTTCTGATTAGGAGGATTCAGCGAACAAAACATTTTAAGGGACGGATTGGCCGTATTTTACATAGCACCTGACTTACTCTAGGCAAAACTTCCGATTACCAAGACCGCATGGTCGAGATACCTAAATGCAAATTCAATAGGTTGAGGCCCTTGTGATAGGAGTATTACGAGGCCCATGGATCCTCGACGGCTATCACAAGAGCTCCGTATGCAGGTGGTACCACGTCTACTTGATCAGTACGAGGGGCACCCACACACACTCGCCGCATCCGCCTTAACTGTTCACGCACATACATACGCCGCAGGGACCTATTCGGCCACATGCGTGTCTACAAGAACGGAATCAACGCAACAGCATCACACATAGTACAACTTACGCATCCGCCGGGAACTTGTTGAGGCGTCAGTCGGCAGCCTTCCAAGCCACGGCGCTGACGCACCGTAATTATCTCAGACTCGGATCACACATGCGGCAGAGGATCCGCATGGGGGTGTAGCCGCGAAGCACACTTCCCACTTAAGTGAGGTGTGGAAATCGAATGTTTGCAGTCGTTACATTGTTGTGTGGTGCGGGTGCTGGTGGGGGATGTGTGATGTGGTTAGTGGTCGTCTGCTGCAGGTTTTCATAGAAGCGCATGTGGCCTAATAGGCCCATGCAGTGAGAGAATGTACGGGGGCAGTAAGGGCAGTTGAGGCGGATGTGGTGAGTGAAGGTTAATGCTCCAGGCACTGATTCGCCAGTCACCGTGCAATGAATTCGCAGGTGGCCGACCAGACCGATGTGTGAGGTGAATGTGCAATCGCAATGGGGTCAGGTATGAACCAAGTCCATATTGCTGGAAGTGGGAGTGTTGGTGATGAGACACCAGACGTCGTCCCATCGGTGATGGTTGTGATGCTGGTCGCTGCGGTCGATGCAGGAGTTGGGACAGGGCGGATGGTGTCGGTAAATGGTGGCGGCGGAGCAGCGACAGTGTGATCAGCGGTGACGACAGTAATGGTCGGCACGGGATTTGCGGCAGGGGCGAGAGTTGGAGAGGAGGTAGTCGTTGTCGGGTGGATGGCGCATTGGGTCCGAAGATGTCCAATGAGACCGATTCGTGCGCTGAATGCGCGTTGACAGCGGGGACCCGTTGGAAGCGGCGGATGGTTGGCACTGAGGAGGCGAGACACTCGTGATTTGCGAACCTCTCGTCTGGCTTTGGTGGCGCCGATGCGGTTTGCTACGTGAGTGTTTGTGCCAGTCTTAACTTCTCCTCTCCAAGTCGGTCTGTTCTGTGCGAGGTTCCCCGCAGGTTTCGGGGTCGAGATGCAATCTCTTAAGAGAATTCTTTAATGTGCCATTGTAGCGTCGTTTGGGTTTTCCTGGTCGGCGAGTTGGACCTCCATGTTTACGACCCCCCTCCCCCTAGTCGTGTACCTTCCATCCTCACGAGATGGCCGCTCCAATGTAAATGTAGTTGCCTCAGTATGGCGTGGATGCTGAGGATCTAGGTCCGTTATAGTTCGATCCATGTCGGGAATCCTGTCTTGCCATCTCAGTTTTAGTATTTGACGAAGACAGCTTAGATGGAAGTGTCTGAGCTTCTTGGAATGTCTGCAGTTGACGGTCCAGGTTTCCACACCGTAGAGGAGTGTCGCCAGGACGACGGCCTTGTACATCTTCAGTTTGGTATTTAGTTGGAGGCCGTGGCAATTTTACGCGGAGTCGTGTAGCCGGCCGAATGCCTGGCTGGCTTTGGAGATCCGGTTGGTCACCTCGTCGTCGATTCTGATGCAGCACGATTTGGTGCTGCCTTAGTGGCTAAAGTTATATACGGTCTTCAGTTCGGTGCCGTTGACGCGGATGCGAGAGACGGTCGCATGACTGTTGATGCATGATCACCGTCTTGTCCGTATTGATGGTCAGTCCGAAGTGCGCGTAGCCGGAGGCGATTAGATCCATGCTCCGTTGCATCTCTTCTTCAGTCGCGATGTTGAGTGAACAGTCGTCGGCGAAGAGCAGATCGCGGGTAGGAGATGTGGAAAGACGCATCAAGGCCTGCATGGCCTGCTGTTGAGGTGGCGGCTGCAGTCAATGCGGATCCCTGGGCGCTCATCATTGTAGGCGTTCATCAGCGTGGCAGAGAACATGAGGCTGAAAAATGTGGGCGCGAGTACGCAGCCCTGCCTCGCTCCATTGGTTGCTGCGAGTACCGTGGATATTACGCGGTTGTCCGTGACTCGCGCAATCACCCAATCGTGTAGCTGACGTACCATGTGCGTAAGTCGCTCGGGACAGCTGAACTTCTGCATGATTCTCCACAGTCCTTCACAATTCACCGTGTCGAAGGCTTTCTTCAGATCTATTGCCGAGAGTGAAAGACCCTGGCTACCACGAACTGCAAGCTCGGTCCCGAATGGAACGAGAAGACGGACGCCAGTGGGGAGGATAATATACTCTGTACAGAGTAACTGTAAAAGGAGTTGAGGAAAGTTGGCAGCCGGACGAGGGCACGTCCGGCGCCGGGTTAATGGCGTCCCAAAGGTGTCAGGGGCTCCTAAGCCAGGATACGTCTGACTCGGCCTTGAGTCTGATTGGCCAGTTGGAGAGCGGAGTAGGCGAATGCCAGACAGCCCTGGTGCGCACATGCGGACACTCGCGAGAGGCCCAGTGTTGAGACAGGCGCTCGGATAAGGACCACTACAGATCCGCGAAGGTGTTGTAGGGGTGAGTCTGCATCTCCTGGCCCTTCATTTGTAGCTAACGGACGGTAAAGATCATATCAGTCGTTTCGTGGTGTCGCCGGAATCTACAATTGGCTTTCCGGCAGAAGTCCTTGCTCTAGGTGGCCGTTGGGACGATTGAGGAAGATGAGGGCGAAGATCTTCCTGGCGATGTTGAGTAGCGAGATGTCCCTGTGATTGTCACAGAGTTTCCGGTTCCCTTTGCGTTTGTACAGTGGACGATGACTGCGTCCTTGAAATCCTGAGGAACCTGTCCGCAGAGCCATATCTTCTGAAATAGCGCCGTCAGTTCGTCCATCAGTCGGCGGCCGCCGTACTTATAGATTTCAGTCGGGGTCGCATATGAGTCGGACACTTTCACCCTGGAAAGTTGTTGCACGGCCTGGATGGTTTCTGGGAGAGAGGGCGGGAGATCTATGTTGGTATTGATTTTCACTTGGGGGAGCCGGTCGATGGCAGTCGACGATTGTGGAGGGACGATCGAGGACGCTTCTGAAGTGTTCGGCCCGACGCTTCAGAATCTGCGACTTTTCTGTCAAAAGTGCTGATACTTTGGAGCTGAGAAGCGCGCGGTTCTCTTCGTTGGAGGGCCGTAGATCGCCTTGATCGCAGCGAAGAAGTTCTTTGATTCGTTACAGGCGGTCTATTCCCGGATCTCCTCGACCTTGCGAGTCATCCAGGCGTCCTGTATTTCTCGCAACCGTTGCTGCGCAAGGCGACGACATTGGTAGAAGGCCACTTTGTTCTCTTCTGTCGGACGGTCGAGATATGCTCTGTGCAGCCCATTCGCCCCGGCGAGCAGGTTACTGAGGGCCGCGTCGTTGTCGTAAAACCAGTCCTGGGGTTGGCAACAAGCACAGCCGAGGACAGCCAGGGCGGTCGAATGAACGAAGTCCCGTAGTTGGCATCGCCGATTCTCCATGGCGGAGTTTTCATCTACGGATGGCAGTTCTTCCAGCTGCTGCGTTAGTCGATTGCAGAAATGCAAACGGTGGGCAGACAAAGACAACAAAACGATATTCAGCTTACCTGGGGTGTGGAGGGCGTGGGGATTACCTTGTGGCCCTCTGTAGGGCTGCAGACGAAGCCTCATCTTAGAGATAACGAGGCGATGGTCCGTCCAGCCATCAGCGTCAGAGGCCGCCTTACTCACCACCACGTCCTGCCGATTTCGCCGCCGGACGAGAACATAGTCCAGCAGCTGCCAACGCGCCATCAGGGTTGCATCCAGGTGGCCTTCTTCCGCATCGGCAGGCGGAAGAATATGTTGGTCAGCAGGAGGCGGTGTTCAGCGCAGATACGCAAGACAAGGAGACCAATGTCGTTGCGGCTAGCGATTCCGTTATGACCCAGCACTCCTCTCCAGGCGACATGATTTTTGTCAAGGCGGCGTTGAAGTAACCAAAAACAACCAACAAATCCGCCTTCGGCACAGTTGCCAGAAGGTCGTCCAGGTTTTGTAGAGCTTAGTGTTCGTCTTGTCTGAGGTGGTCATTGTTGGGGCGTAGGTGCTGATGATTGTGGCGAAGGTGGATTCCCGAAGATGCAGACGCAGGCTCATCACTCGATCGTTGATGCCCTGCAGCAGACAGGGCAGTCATCCCACGATGTCGTTTCAAGTGGCAAAGGCGACGCCCGCGTCCCGTCGCTATCCCCTGGGGCGGTCGCTCCAGAAGAAGGTGTAGCCGGCACCCAACTCCTCCAGTCGGCCTTATTCAGAGGATCAGGTATTGCTGAGTGCAGCGATGTCCACCTTGTAGCGCGCCAGTTCCCGAGCGACTAGCACCGTCCGTTCCGGCCGGTTGCTCCTCGGATTGCCTGAAAGGGAACGAACATTCCAGGCTGCCAGAATGAGTGTACTCATCCTAACTGCCTGTAGGGTTGAAAGGAGAGGAGGAGGAAGATGGGGAAAGAGAGAGAGAGTGTGTTGTTTCTGTTTTGATAGTTTCGACTGCATGTTAAGCAGTCTGCGAGCCACGGTCTGCGTGCAGATGTCGTGAACTCAGCTTTGTCTAGGGCGCCTTTTAACCGCTCTCTCTATATAGGGTTGCCTTGTCGCACCAGACAGCTACTGCTCCCCACTACGGGTCACGGGGTTTAGTTGGAGAACAATCCGATTGGCCTGGGCCGACTACGCGATTGCCTTTCGTTCTCGCCGTGGGTTTCCAAACGTCGGGGAGGAGAGGAGACAGTAGGGAGAGTGAGGGGGAGGAGAAGAGGGGATGAGGGTGAAGGAGGCCAGAGAGGGGGAGAGAGGGGCGGAGGAGGAGGAGGATGGGGAAGAGGGAGGAAGTAGATAGGGAGGAGAATACAAGCGCAGAAGGGGTGAGGAGGAGGAGGAGGAGGAGGAGGAGGATGGAGGTGGGCAGAATTACTGCAGGGGATACACATGGATACCCTCACCTGGTTTAACCCGCCAGTCGAGGTGGTTGCCGGGCGTGACCGCTGGACGGAGCTCAGTTTCGAGGAGCCACATGTGAGAGTTTTGTGCCAGTTAATGGACGCTAGGCGTAGTCACACCTGCAAACAAGTGAGCGACTTAATACGACCTTCACGTGGATCAACAAATGGACACCCCTCCACCCCAGCGTGCTGCCTATCCGCTGATTGACTGAATTGCCCGTGGGATTAACACCTTCCGCTATATTCAGCACACTCTCCTTCTCTTCTCCGGTGACCAATTACGCTAATCCTGGTGGCCATATTCTATATCCACTTCTGCGGCACTGACCCGTAAAATAAACTGTTATGGAGACGGGAACCACAATGAAATCGCGGCCTAAAGCGAAAAAACACGTGACCACCCGCGTCGCAGCAGGCCAAGCCCGCCGGGAAATACGCACGCGAAACCAGCCAGCCAATCAGCGTGCATTGCTGTATCGAATGCGTGTTAAGTCCTTGCTCACGCGTGCAGCCCAAATATTCGAAAAGATTCCGCTAGGGGCTTCTGGTGAGGGAAATGGCCAATCAACGCGCGAAACGCGATAGGCCAGACTATTCCAGAATGCCCACCGCGATTTGCACGCCATCGGCCGGAAGATTGAGAACGGCCAGAACTCCAGCAAATAAGTGGGAGTTGACGAGCTAAGGGATCTGCTGCTTTCTGCGATCTATAACAAAGTATTCGTCTCCAGAACCCGTCTTTATTCTCGCCCATCATACCCGTCGAGATGGAACATAAACCTCATAATCAGATATTTACACTGTGCATTTTGTTCGACGGTTGCATATTTGTCGTCCCGTCAGCAAATCTTGGAACTCACTGTCCTGAAAAATCATACAGATCGGTGCGTCTTTCATTTACCAACTTACTAGCCCAGTAGGTATTGATGATGATATGGTTCAGCAATTCTAGTGATTCGTCTGTTACTCTTTGCATACGAGTTATTTTTACATATTCGCATAGTTTTTGCACCCTCAAGTGTTGGTTTGTGGTGTTCTTATGTGAGCAGTATGAGGAGGCTCTGAAGCAGCAGCCTGCCAAAATCATCCGTGTTTCCTGAAATGGTCATCAATTCGAAAGTTTTTTTCGGAAAACGAGAAATGCATGGGCTACATATGACTCGGAAACGTGAGTCTGGACTGTCATTACGTCTGCTTAAGTTTGCAGTCGAAGCATCTTCGATCAACCCGATGCCGCTGCAGTAGAGGGATTGAGAAGGCTGTCCGACGCAAAAGTAAACCGGATATAGTTGGATGAGGGAACGGCCGATTTAGTGTCAATCTTATGCTGATTCCGTTTTTAAGGATGTAATCCTGCGAACAGACCACCTCTGCCTGTCTTGGGTGCAAAGGAAGACCTAAGAGGTACTATTAAATAAGGTACTCGTGTGGGCACGACAACCGTCCTGCCATCGGATCATGTTACAAATAGGTTGACCTTGCTGTTCCATATCGACTAATTATGACCTTTCTTCACCTCTGGACACCGAACTTTCAGTGAAACACAAAGTTGGATATTCTTATAGCAGCAAAATTGCATGGGGCCGTTCACGTACGTCGCTCCTGTGTGCCGGCGATATCTTTGCCCTGTCAGCAGTTGAATTGCACTTCCTGCCCCAACTTTTGGTGACTCACTTGCTGCAGGTTTGCTACTGTGCGCTAGACCTCCATGCGCCTTTGCTAACCACATCAGTCACTCACTCCTATCAATCCTTACCATCAACTGCCTTACAAAATCCTTACTTAATAAAGGTCCTCACCTCAAATTCACTTCCGCAAAGTCTTATTTGGGTCTGCTTTAATTTGGTGGACTTGACGCGATTGGTGATCGGACAACGGCTTCAGGGGCAATAGTGATCGGTTGTACAGCTGTTGTTCAATAGGTGGAATAATCTACTCACATCATGCGTCCAGAATTATCCTTTGACAGAGCTGAGCTAACTGGTAAAAAGGAGCAAACATGACCCAAATGATCCACAGGATTCCGAAAAATTAAAATGGGTGCTTTTGAGTGTCAGGAAAATAATTCGGTAGGATTTTTACTCGTGAAGCTTTTTAAGAGTGGAATTTCACCAGATAGTTGAAACATCTCTATAAAAAGGGCCTCAAGTGACAGTGGCCAGAACACATTGGCCGGAATCTCCAGCACAACTTCTCCCATCATCGTTGAGAGAATAAGTCCGATCAGAGTGATTGGGCGCACCTCCGCCGCTGTTCCTGAGCAATGTTTTGTGATCTAGGCTCCGAAAGAGACAGCTAAGCAACATAGCGTGTTGTGACAGGCCTTTGACGGTCGTATGCTTTCTGGATCAAAATAAAATTTCAGTTGAAGTCAATTTGATGGAGTTTTGCTCGGTTTTCTTGATGAAATAAGAAGGTACTACGAAAAATATTGTCGGTGTAAATCAGCAGATTGTTCTCCTGCATAATGACATAACCGCCTCAGGCAAAAAATTTCGATAAGTTAATTGCTGCGCGTCTCCCTGTCTGCAGAGAATAAGAGGTGCAAGGTTGTCTTCTATCCAAATTCGGAGACGTTCATTATAACGGAGAACTGGACTTCATATTCTGAGTGATTTAAGTGTTTACGTGTACAAGAGGGCTCTTGAAGTTTCTGAATGGTCATTTTGTCTATGTGCAGCGTTTCAGAGTCATTTAAATTGGCTAAAAAATCAGCCGTGTCCAAATACCCTCTTTATTTGTCTGGCACGACGGTTTCTGAATGACTTATGATTTCCGGTAAAAATATAACGCCTCGGTCATCTATCTGATTATGGCTGACCGATGCTACACGTTATTGCGATTTTTGTGGGGTCGGACTTTTAAAAGGGCCTGAGAAGACCTGCACGATGCGGTATGCTTTGCGTTTTGTCGCCTTTTATCTATAAACTTCATCGGTCCACGTGTATTAACAAACAAGAGTACGCGGTCAGTGCTGTGTTGAAATTGTCCACCATGTCATTGTACCAAAGGATACATAAACAAATTCGAGCAACCCAACATTTTTGTGTGTGATTTCTAGAACCACAGAAAGTTGATGGTGACCTCTCACAAACACTAGATAAGATGATGTGGGTCAAAGTGCAGGCCAAGTGTCTGCTGAGAATGATGGGCACGATGAGGGTTTGCTATGAATGACTGCAGAGGGTAAGAAAGATGTCTGAAAGGTGCGCCAAGACTACATCGGGCTGCCGTTTTATGCTTGAGCTTATTCTAATATTTTCCATGCGCTGAGTCATTTCGTCCTTCTCAAAGCTCGGATACCGAGCAAACAAAAGGATAGTCCTATGTGAGAGTAATTCTCGGTAAATCAAATCAGGGATCCTGGGTAAGCGGGGGGGGGTAACTAGCATCTGTATGTGAATTATAAACCAGACAAAAATATTGCCCGACAGGTAGACCGTCGTCACCTACGATGTCTACCATGTGTTCCACAGGTGGTTAGGAGCAGAGAAGGTGATTTACGCGTGAGTCAGTTTATAGAGATTGTAAACTTGCACCACATCTACCGCACTTCCTCCTCCTCCTCCTCCCCTACCCGAGTCCGGCGTCAAAACATAGTCAAGAAGACCGGAGGCGGGAGAGTGCTCAAGTGGCTGGCACGGCCGGACCCGCGCCAGGCGTACCACCACACTCCCTGGTCGACAGCGTGCAGTAACCAGGATTTTATACAGCAAAAACAAGGGAAGACTACTGGGATCTCAGTTGGCATGGCGTGAGCCTGCATCTGGGAGCACCACCACATCTTTAATGTTGGTATTTGCTGTGTGTGCA